GAGGGTATGTGCTATGGTGAGTGCTGTGAACTGTGTAAGACTGATGATTCACAGACCTGAGCCCCTGAAGCAACTAATACATTATATGTTAATTTAAAAAAACTCTATTTAATGGTTATATATATAACACTGTACCCAGTATCTGAAGAATATACCATCCTTCCAAAAGATACATCTACCAGAATGGCTAGAATTAAAAAAGAATCACACCACCAAGTGGTGGTTAACATGTAGAGTGGCTGTAACTCTCATACTTTGCTGAGGGGGCATAAATGGTACAACTGCTTTGGAAAACTGTTTGGCCATGTCTGAAAAAGATGAGCATACCTCTACCCCATGACCAGCAGGTCTACTCCTAGGTATTTATGTAAGAGCAATGAAAAAAAAAATAGACTAGTCAAGAATGCTCATAGAAACATCAAGTTCCTCATAGAAGAATAGAAGTTCCTCATAATAGCCAAATTGGAAACAACCCAAATGTCCATAAAAGGCTGAACGGACAAACTAGGAAGGACATAGTCATTCAATGGTATGCTACTCCGTAATGAAAAGAAATGAACTGTTGATAGACCCACCAATGGAGGTGCAGCTCAAAACTCATTATGCTGAGTGAAAGAAGCCAGACACAAAATATGACATACTGTATGGTTCCTTTTATATATGAAATTCTAGAACAGACAAAACTAATCATGGGGTGGGAAGAAGTAGGTGTAGAAACAATGGGAAGTGATGTAAGAGAACTTTTCTGAAGTGACGGAAATTTTCTAGAACTTGACAGGAGTGTGGGTTACGGGGGTCCTGCATTCATAGAAACTCATTGAACTGTACATTACACTGTATATACCTCAATAAAAAATTATACTTTAATTTAAAAGCTTCATACAGCATCTACAAAAAGTGACCAGATACTGAGCTATGAAACAAGTCTTAACAATTTTCGAAGTTATAATATACAGAGTATGTTGTCTGACCACAAGGTAATTATGCCAGAAATCACGACAAAATGATTATGCAGAAAATCCCCACATGGCTTTTTTTAGAAGATTTTTGTTTATTTGAGAGAGAGAGATCAGGAGCAGGGGGAGGGGCAGAGGAGAAGCAGACTCCCTGCTGAGGAGGGAGCCCCTTGCAGGACTCTCCATCCCAGGACCCCAGGATCATGACCTGAGCCAAATGCAGGCGCTTACCCTCTGAGCCACCCACATGCCCTCCCCATGTTTTGATTTTTGAAATATACTTCTAAGTAACCCACAGCTCAAAGAAGAAACCATAGTGGAAATCAGGAAATATTTTTAGTTGCATGACAAGGAAAATACAATGTAATAAAATATAAAATATAACCACTAAAGAGTAGAAATAGGGTATATTAAGTCCAAACAAACAGAAAGGGAAAAACAAGGGGGAAAAATCCCACAAAATTAGATGATCCCCAAAAACGTAGGAAACACGGAAAAAGCAAAACAAATAGTAATTTTAAAGTAAGAAAATATTAATAGTGCCCAATACGTCAACAATCCACAATAAATGCAATTGGTTAAACTCAGATTAGAATGTAAAAGTCTGTTCTATGCTGTTTATTAGAGACACACCAAAAGCTCATGGAAAAGTTGAAAGCAAAAAAAGATTTACCAAGAAATATTACCCCTAAGAATGGGTAGCTTTATTGGTATCAATCAAATTAGACATTAATACTAAAACCATTACTAGGCAGAGTGAGTCACTACAAAGTAATAATTCATAAAAAAATTATAATGAATACAATTCCAAATTTGAATATTTGTAATAAAATAGCTTCATAATACTTAATATAAAAATTGGTAGGAGTACAGGGAGAACTGGAGCAATTCATCCCATGGAAGTGTGAGATTTCAATGCCACTATCACACCGAGGGATTTGGTATCACACAGACCACATTCTCCAGCCATGATGCAAGAAAATTAAAATTCAATATGCACATCAACACAATACCCATATGCACAGAAGTTAAAATGCAACCACTCATCTGAATAATTCATGATAAAAATTAAATCATAATGGACAAAAATGGATGAAAAAATCATCATAATGGAAATTTTTAAAAACTTAGAACGGAATGATGAAAATGTGACATATGAAGACTTGTGGGGAGCAGCAGATTTATAGCTTTGAATAATTAGATTAGAAAGAAGAATGGGCGAATATAAAGGAGCCAAGTGTTAGGAAAAAAAATAGCCAATAAACCTAACGCAAAGGAGACTGAGGTGGGGAGACCTCCAGAAACGAAATCGGGTGCTAGCTGGAGGTGAGAGCAGCCTGGGGCTCTGGGTCAGAACTCAATTTCAAAGTGCCTGTCCCCAGCTCATGCTCTAAACACCCTGATGGGGGTCTGGGAGGTGGGTGGGCTGAGGGGTTGTGGACTGGAAGAGAGCAGCATCTGACCCCCATGTGTCCACCTGTCACAAGGGTGGGAGAGCCTGCGGAAAGGAGCTTGTAAGGCCCCCTGTGGCTCCAAGAAGCAATGGCAAATTGGAGCCCAGCCAAGCCCAGATCAGCTAGGTGAGTGAGGGGCGGGCTAGTCTGTGTCCTGCCTCTCTGGCCCCCACATCACCTTCTGGGTCTCTGACGTCTCTGTCTCTCCATCTGTAAGTCTGAGTCTGTATCTCTGGCTCAGTATTTCTCTCTCTGTCTCTGCTCTGTCTCTGTATCCCCCAGATGCAGAACCCATCCGCTCTTCTGTCCTGCTCTGTGTCTCCATCACCTGATTTCATCCCAGATCGGACTTGCTTGCCCTTCCTTCCTTCCTTCCTTCCTTAAAATTTTATTTGCTTATTTGTCAGAGAGAGAGAGCGCGCACAAGCAGAGGGAGCGGCAAGCACAGTTCTCAGAGAAGCAGGCTCCCTACTCAGCAAGAAGGCTGATGTGGGATTCCATCCCAGGACCCTGGAGTCCTGACAACCTGAGCCCAAGGTAGATGCTTAACCGATTCAGCCACCCAGACCGACCGCCTTCTCTCTCTCTCTCTTTCTCTCTGAATTTCCGTGTTTCTCTTTGATTATTTTTCTTTATCACTGTCACGCTATCTTCCCTCTGCTGCCGCTGTTCTAATGGTTGCTGACACTTTCTCTCTTTTCCTCCGAGGTGTCTCGCGTTCCTGTCCTCTCAGGGCTGAAGTCTCAGGGCTGAGGATGAGGTGTCCTTCCTAACCCCCTTTCCTGCAGCCTTCCCAGATCTCCTGGGAAACAGTGAAAGAATGGACGGAGGGGGGGTGGACAGGCCTGAGCTAAAGGCCCCGCACTCACCTGAGGACTCGGTGGAGCCTGAGACTCCCCCGTGACTCTTGTATGGGCGGAGAGGACCCGTGTTGCCGAGGGAAAGGGAGTGAATGTGTGTGCACCCAGGCAGGTTTTGCAACTGTTGTGTCTGAGGGTGGGGAGAGGCGAGGAGTGGGGGGAGAGAGTGCAGAAGAGGTGTCCTAACGTATGGCTTTCTTGACTGGAGACTGTGTCCAGGCCTCACCTCCGTGAACCTTCCTTGGTCCTGACCCCGCCTGCTGAGCTCTGGCCCCGCCCTGAACCCTGGCTCCCACACTTTGTGCTCTGACCCAGCCTCTAGGCGTCCAGGCCAGGGCCCGGCCAAAGCCCTATCACTAACGGCACGGGGTGCAGACCACACCCAAACGTGGCCCTGTTGCAAGGCGAGGGACTCCACTGCCTGCCCTGTGGGCGCTCTTGAAGCGGAATGTAGACTTTGGGGCGGGGCCTGGATTGGGGGCGGGGCTTCACCTATGGGGTGGGGCCTGAGTAGAAGGGGAGTGCCTTTCTCCGAAAAGGTTTCCAGCCCAAGTTGAAGAGGGGTTGAGACGCATGGGTTTGCGGTGGAAATGAGATGCGGCTGACATTCGGGTGGGAGCGCAGATGAGGGGAGGCTGCCGCCGCGGGCGTGCTGAGGCAGGGAGAGATGTGCTCATCTGCGGCAACTCCAACATCCAGCTGGGTCCGCACAACCTTGGTGGGGACCGAGATTCCCGCAGCCAGGACCTCACGCTCACCAAACCGAACTCAACAACCACGGAGCCGGAGCCGGACTGGGTCGGCACCAGCAGCATCACCACTGGTGTCCGGCTGGCACTTACATCCCACAGTGAGCTCTTCAGTCACTGTTGCTGCCCTTGCGCCCGTGGGGGTGGGGGTGGGGGTCTGTCCCTAACAGCTCTGTCCCTAGTCCACATCTCCGAGTGTGGATCCTGTCCCTAGGCGACGGCCCAAGCTTCCTGCAGTGGTGTCTGAGAAGGACTGCCATGGAGTTCCCTCTTGATTCACTCTCTTTAGGGGGCCTTAGGGGCAGGGGGCGGAGGTAACTGTATTCCTTGGCTCATGCACCGTTGACCCAGCATCCATGACCCATCCTCCTACTGTTTATATTCAACTCATTGACTCAGACTCTCAACTAATAACTAATGATTCCCTCTCATCCCCATAAACCACTCTCCTTCCCACAGACACCCCTTCTGGTGTCTTCACTGGGCGTCATGACTTGACTGTGCTCTACAGAATGAGTACTGTGGGCGCATAGTGTAATTTACGTAAGGCTGTTACGCTCCGTGACTCATTGTGTGTTCACACGTTTTCACTCATGGCTGTGCTTTCATCCTTGGCGTGCACGCATCGGCTTTGTACTTCCGACTCTGCTCAGTGCCATGTGGCGAGCACCTACCACATGTCACTGTCCACCTGCCCAGGGTGGACACCCATCCCTCCCACAAGAGCCTGGCCACCCCCGCCTTCAGTGTGTCTGTACAACCTGTGTGAGAAGGTGTTTCCAGACACTGCCTAATGTCTCCTGCGAGGTTGGGGGGTCACCCCCATTTGAAAGCCACTGGTCTTCCCCGTCTCTACCCCTGACTCCACACTTTAGGACACAGGCCGGGTGGGTCCCTGACTTCCACATCTAGAAAGGACAAACGATGCCAGAATTTGCTGCGTATTCTATTTGACTAAGGGGAGGGGAAAGTCAGAGGCATTCAGCTGTTGTCCAACATGGTCTCTTTGATCCATTGCAAATAGGGCATCACTTTGGTGTAGACGGCAGGCATACTGGGGCTGTCACATGGAACATGGCCCCCGGCTGGGATTCCCTGAAGCACACCATCGCAGATCAGGGGGCCCTCCAAGTCACCCTGCAGCACAAAGGGGGAAAGGAACGTTAGCAAGGCCTTAGGCTCTGTGTGCAGAGTACCAGCTCCTGGGCTCACAGAGCACAGACAGTAACACCCCAGCTCTGGGGAAACTCAGAGCTGTCTCCAGAGTCCACTGCCAGAGGACTGGTGGGATTCCAACAGAGAGGACAATAGCTTGAGTCCTGGCCAATGGGGAGAAGACTTCAGGGTCCAGTTTCCTCACAGTGGGGAGGGTCCAGGAGAATAGTCCCAGCAGACAGATCAATGGTGAAAAGAAGTGGGATCCATCCTCCGACCTTGAAGGCTCATCTCTGATGTCACCTCTCCCCTATAGCTTCCCCGGGTCCCTCAGAAGAGTGGCAGTCACCTCCCCAGGTGGCCCCAGGTGGGGTCCCACAGGAGGGACCCCTTCCCTCTGGTGTCACCTCCTGCCCTCTCCCCTTGCTCACTGGGCTCCATCCGCGCTGGGCTCGCTGACACTCTCACACACACCAGGCCCACTTGCCCCAGGGCCTCTGCACCTGCTCTCCCCCACATTCCGCTGGGCTCACCCCCACCTGCCGCAGGTGTCCACTCAATCCCACCACCTCCCTGCCCTGCCCCCCTCAGCTCACCGGCCATCTCCCCCGGCTCCATGATGTCTCCTTCTGCCCCACGGCACCAGCATCTCCTGACATGAGAGCAGTGCCCCTCACGAAGCCCCCCACCACCATGTGAGGGACACAGACAGAAACAGTGAACGTAACACAGACAGCAGTGACTGCTGTCTTCCCAGGGGCTAGGTTGGTGTCGGGCACACGGTAGATGCTCAGTAAGTACGTGCTGCCTGGAGGAAGGGATGGACTGTGACTTGGAAGACTGAGGTGCGGGTGGTGCCTGGAAGGGGGTGTGGGATAGGGTAGGGGGTATGCAGGCACTGGGGGCGGGGCTACAGCTGGACAGCAGTGGGACCGATGCCTGGTTAACCCTTGCACCCCGGCCCTGAGTCTGGGTCTTGTCCCCCAGCCCAGGTGGTCAAGGGGGGAGAGGCTGGCTCACCCGGCAGGTGTCACTGTTGCCCTCCAAAGGGCCAGCACACAACATGTGATCTGTCACCTTCTGGATGTGGGCCTTGGCACATACATCATTGGGCAGGAGTTTGAGGTCCATACACTGGAGATCGCCAGTGTCTGAGACTAGAACCAAGAGAAAAAAGAGCTGTGGCCAGACCCCAAGTGGCTCCTCAGTCCTCCTCCTCCCTCAGACCCTGAATCCAGTCCCCAGCCCCCTCCTCCCTACACCCAGGTGTCTGGGCTCCAGGCTGCACGGTCTGGCTCTGGCGTACACTTACCTGGTTCAATGCTACCCCAGCCAGAGGTGTAGCAGGTGCTCCCCAGTTTGGGTTCCTGGATGGGCAGGTCCAGGACCCTCACGGTGTCTGTAATCTGGGGGGGCTCTGCCAGGCGGAGCAGCATGAGGTCGTGGCTGTAGTCCTCTCCCGGGAGGCGGGTGTGTTTCTTCAGGAGACTCAGGTTGAATTTCGGGTGTGGGAAGTTTCTAATATCCTCGAATAATTGGGCTGTGTCTTCATGCTGGAACAGGCTGCGGCGACCCAGCCAGAGTTGGTAATTTCTGCGGAGAGAGGGAGCCCCAGGGAATGAGGAAAGTGAAGGGGGAAGGGAGATGGGGCCAGGAGGGTCCTGAAGACAGAGAGAAATAAGAGGCAACCGTGGAGAGAAAGAGAGAGCCTGCGGTAAAGAATTCGTCACGGAAAAATAGAGACCTGGGGAAAACAAAAGATGGTGACAGCATGAGAGGCAGATCCAGAGATAAAGAGAAGCAGTGAAAGAGAGAGTTTGAAATAGGAGAAGGAACGAGGCAGAGGGTAGAACAGGGAGCCTGAAGGAGCACAAAGGCGACAGGAGAGGAAGCGAAAAGGCGGCGACCCTGAGGAAGGGTCCCTGGAAAGAAAAAAGAGTGAAAGAACAGACAGGAAGGAGCAGCAGGCCCAATGCGACAGGGACAGGAGCAAGGGGAGAGAGGGAGGAATGCAGGCAGGTGCGGGCAGTCTGAGAGAGAGCAGGGAGGGAGGACAGGGAGGGAGGACAGGAGGGGCTGGGAGGGGGCCTGGGACCGGCTCAGCTGCAGCAGGGGCTGCGGGGTTGGCTCCCCAGCAGCGGGTGGCCTGGCTCCCAGCCCAAGGTCGGCAGCTCCCTCCCTCCCAGGACCTCCTCCATCTCCTACCTCTACATCCCTCCACTACCCCCTCCCACCCCGACTATCTCCACTTCTCCTCCCCCACCCCCCCGCGCTCCCCTTACTAACTTTCCTCCCCCTCCTCTTCTCCACCCCTTTCTCCCCCTCTTTGGCTTCCTCTTTCTCCTCCTTCTCCTCCTTCCTCCAGGGCCCCCACCAGACTCCAGCTGAAACCAGCCCTTCCCTGTGTCCCCTGGAGTGCATCATTGTCCTGGAGGGAGGGGCTGGGCACATGAGAAGCCCCCTCACACACACACACACACACACACACACACATCAGGAGAATCCCTTCCTTTTCTCTGGGGGTCTCCTTCAGTCCCATCCTGGGGGTGCTCAGCAGCAATGGGGGAAAGGGAGTGTGGCAAAGACCCAAAGAGACAGATGGGGCAGAGGCATGGAGGGTGAGACCTACAGTGACAGGGATGCAGCTGAGGGACCCAGAGGTGGACAGACACAGGGAGACACACAGAGACCCTGAGACAGGAGAGGGAGGGAGACAGGGATAAATCATAGACAGACAGACACATGACAGAGCCAGTGACTGAAAGACAGAGACACAGGGTGGGGAGACAGGAAGATAGTTACAGAGAGAGACACAGAGACACAGGCTGCCATGGGAGGTCTTCCCTGGGGTGGTCCCTGCCACTCTCCATGGGCCCCAGACCAGTACCATCTTTGTTTCCCTCAGCCCCCCAGCCTCCCCTGCGGTGAACCCAGGGTCTGTACCCAGTTGCTTATTCCTGTGGGAGCACAGACACCCCCTCCCAGACCCCATGCTCAGACTCACTTGTACATGCACTGGGCAGCTGTGAGCACCCACTATGGGTGCACCAGGACACCCCCGCACCTGACACTGCTGAAATTGTACACAAGCGACCCCCAGGGTTGGAAATTATTACACTCCGAGCCTCCGCTCATCTGGGACTGGATGGGAACCACAGCACCTGCAGAGGGATGCTGGGTCAGGGCAGGCAGGAGGAGACGATGGGGCTGGGAGGGTCTAGGTTAGGAGAGGGACACGGGCCGCAGAAGAGCAGGGCTGAGGTTCTGGGGAGATCAGCAAGGGGTTCGGAAAAGGTCTGTGATTTTCCTGCAGTCCCTTAATTGGGTTGGTGATGGGTCCTGCCTGGGAAGACATTCTGCTGAGACAGACTGCACCCCAGGAATCAGAAGAAAACAAGGCAGCATCTGGAGAAACTTGTGGTGTGCAGGTCAGCTGTTTTGCAGTGATCTGGAGTTCCTGGACTGGGGGACAGCTGGCTTTGGTGGAGGTGTTGGCTCAGAAAAGAGGAAGGGGATTTAGAAGCCAGTGTTAAGCAGGCGCCTGGGTGGCTCAGTGGGTTAAGCCTCTGCCTTTGGCTCAGGTCATGATCCCAGGGTCCTGGGATTGAGTCCCGCATTGGGCTCTCTGTTCAGCAGGGAGCCTGCTCCCCCCCCCCTTTCTCTCGGCCTGCCTCTCTGCCTTCTTGTGATCTCTGTCTGTCAAACAAATAAATAAAATTTAAAAAAAAAAGAAAGAAAAAGAAAACCAGTGTTAAGGACTCCAAAGGAGAGGTTCATGGATCATGGACTGGGAAAGAAGAATTTGAGTGGTGCTAAGGGGTCTCAGTCTTAAATATCTTCTATGCCTGTGGTGGGAATTTGGGGTTCTGAGAAAGTTTCAGTATTTAGGGAATGAGGACTGAGAGATGACAGCTGAACAGGAAAGGTCACCTGCGGGCTCAGGAGCCAGAGCACCGGACCTTGGAGAACTAGGAGGTAGGACAGGAGGATCAGGGTCCCTGGGTCCAGTGAGGAGGGGTTGCTGCTTGGAAGAGTTGGGGAGCACCAAAGAGAAGAGACAAAGATGGCTCCAGACTGCGCGTGTCCGGAAGCTGTCTGGGGGCCACTGGGAGGAAGCAGGCAACCAGTGTGGCAGTGAGGACTGTGAAGAAGGTGGCAGGGTGGAGAGCTAAGGAAGGTTCTGGGGTGGGGGTGGGAGAGGCAGGAAGAGACTGGTACCCAGCCTGGGCTGGACTGTGGGCGGGAGGAACAGGCTGCACGGATGGGGAGAGTGGCTGGCCTTGTGGGGACGTCAGGGTGAGAGCACCATGAGAGTCAGGGCCCCTCTCCCTCTTTCAGATCCATTCTACTCACCAGTCCACCCCAGGGACATTGCCAGGCACAGGACCAGGAGCCACATGGTGACAGAGTGTCCAGGAGCTGGCAGACGGTGAGCTAGGAGCTGGGGAGCCTTTAAAGCCTACACCCCCATGGCCACACCCCTGATCTGCTGCCACCAAGAAGCTGGCCAAGTCCTGGCCCTGCTTCTGGGTGTGGACAGCCCCCACCCCCAGGGCTATGGGAGGGATGAAAGAGCAAGCACCTGTTGTTCTTAAGTCCTTAATCACGCTGGATATATGCCGGGCTCTGAGGCCAAATGGGCCAGGGCCTACAGCCCTGTTGCCTTGCTCTTGTCAACACAGGCAGTGAGAGGAAGCCCGAGAAAACAGAATCAGCAGCACTGGAGAATCAGGATTCCTATTACAAGGCCTCCAATGGCTACACTCCAAGAGAGATTTCACAACCCAAAGCCCATTGGACCCTCAAATACATGCACTATGTCCCTGAAGCTCTCCGATACCTCCCTGAGCCAAGATGCATGTCCCCCAACTTCCCACATCCCTGAAATACGAGCTTGGCTTTCAGAACCCCTGTACTTCCAGATGCAGGAATGAGTTGCCCTACTAAAATGTTCCCCTCAAAATCAATTCTTGGAATGCCAGAGATCCACAATCCCAACACTACTGGACCCAGAGATATGAAATTCCAAAGGTATCCTGGAGCGAGTCTCCTAGCACCCCAAAATCCAACGTTCCCCAGAACAATTCAGAGGTACCAACATAGACCCCCTCCCAACTCCTCATTCCTTAACCTGGACATCTGATGACCCAGGACCCCCGGTTGAGCTGCACATCAAGGTCAAGAGAACCCTCGAAGAATCCAGTGGCCCTGCTCCAGTGAACATTTAGATCACAGGGGCCTCGTTAATACACCTCAGGATGAAGTGGCATTGAACATCACATTTTGGAGTCTCAGAAGAGACTTAAGAACTAGAGCCTTTCAGGCCTCCAGTGTTATCCTACGTGCTATGGACAGAATGTCTGCATTCCTCCCAAATTCTTACGTTGAACTGCTACTCCCCAGTGTGATGGTTTGAGGAGATGGGGCCTTTGGGAAGTGATTATGTCACAAAGGTGAAGTCCTCATGAATGGAATGAATGCACTTAAAAGGGATCCCTTGCCCCTTCCGCCATGCCAAGACACAGAGAGAAGAAAGTCATCTGTGAGCCAGGAAGGGGGCTCTCACCTACGGAAGACATGTCGATCCAGCCCCTCCCATGTCAAGCACTTGATCCAATCATTCCCCTCTCTGCACTGAGCCACATGAGAAGCTCCGAAGACAGGAAGTGAGAGAAGTGGTCACCGACACTCACAAGTGAAGACCATAAAGACTGGGGTACAAGAATACATTCAGTCCGTGCTCCGACCTCCCCCACACACAGATCAGTGTCACCCTGTGGGAGAAATGTGCCTGCGTGAGTGAGGAATCCCTGGAGACAGTGCCCAATCCCCATCCTAATCCCCATACTCAACCTCAACCAAAACCCAGTACAACCCAACGCAACCAACCCCAACTCCACACGTGGCCAACCCAAGGCAAATGAACCCACCCAACTTAACCCAACAGAACACAGCCACCACCTCCTCCACATTCAAAATCAAACCAAACCCATACCATCCTTCCATCCAACACAACCCAATCTTAACCCCCAGGTCTTCTACATCCCCAAATATATTGCCCACCATCCCCCTTTAGGCCCCACATCATTCCCATCCAAATCAGACCAAAACCATTCCAAATCCCAACTTTACCTATGCCTTCCTTTCAATTTCTCCAGGTGTTCCTGATGTGTTTTTTTAACATTGTCCCCTTCTAGCTTTTCAAACTATGGTCTCTTTCCTCTGGAACTCCATTCCTTTTGTCCCTCCCACCATCTCATTTGCTAGTACCTGAAGAAGGGAGGAGAGGAAAAGGACAGGAGGGCAGGGGTTTCCGTGGTTTAGGATGGAGGCAAAGCCAGTGGACACAGATTCAGACCTGTGGTCACTTGGACTGAGTCACTCAATGTCACCCATGTGCCATACCTATTAAGTGGATGTAGCCACTGAGAATGGATGACACAGAGATGTCTCTGTGTCACAGATGACTCCAACATCTCAGCCAAACTCAGTGTCACACAAGGTTATGAATGTGGTCATCCTATTTCATGGATGTGCACACATGCAAATCACACTTTCAAACTTGGGCACTGAGTGGACAGCACCTCATGCTGAGATTCACTTGACATATGCACGTTATTCAAGAACCACAGTAGATGTTCATATGTGCATATGGATGTAGGCAGATAAGTCATGAGTGCACAAACACACACACACACACACACACTGACACCAAGCTTTGGATGTACCAACTCAGACCTAAATTCACAGTGTCCAATGGAGGTCTGAACACATCCAATGTCAGAAATGCACACACTTGTACACGGGTCTAGACATAGAAGCCAGGTCCTGAATAAGGATACACAGGGGAGACATGTCAGTATGGACTCAGGCCCCTGAAGACATGTTCACAAACATAGCTCTATAAAATGGTATTATAGCCAGCATTTGACCTCTGTGTGTTTCCATTTCCTCATCTGTTAAATGGAGGTTGTTTTAAGGTTAAAGAGGGGTCTGTGTGTGTGAGAATGCCTAGGACAAGTTGCTGCTTAATAGTAGTTATTTTTGTCAAGGGCTAAATGTGGATATTAATGTTGTGGACACAGATATGGTCATGCTCAGACATAGATGCAGACCCAGGTAAGATAGGGTCAAAACTGGATTAATCCACAAGCCACTTAATGGTGGTGATTCAAAGTGGCAGGCACAAACCCAGAGGCTGAGCATTCAGGTGTGGACCCAGTGGATCCAACCCCAGTGCAACACCTGGACACAGGCTGGACATTGAAGATGACAGAGACAGCTGGAGATATAGGCTTCAAGACAGGACACATCTATCCATCGCTACATCAGCCCCAAAGTCAGATGCTTGATGTTCAAGATCTCTCACTGCGTTTCACGTATGATGACAAAGTTCACAAGAGGAAGCAAGTAGGAGACAGGTAAGGCCTTGCACACTTGTCCCCCCCACACACAGCTGTGCTGTGCACAAGTACCAGACAGGCAGTTTACGAGGTCAAAGGACTATGAACCTCTACGAACCCCCTGTCTATGATAGAACCCTCTATCTATGGGAAACATAGAGACATCCCCTCAAGGTCAAAGCCACACACACACAGAAACAGAAGCCAACACTAGGGCAGGACTGGACATCAATCCCACAGATCAAATGACCACACTTTTCCCCCTGCTGTTGGGAACTAGGGCTGGAACTCTGCTGAGCAGAGGCCGTGTAGATGTGGTGGAGAAAGAGCATGAGGAAAGCAGAGTGATGCTACTTCCCCTTCCTTGGAGGAAAGGGAAGGGGTGAGACTGGACTCATGTTCTCAGAAATTCTCCATGGGCATGTCACGTCTTCATAACAAAGGAATCAATATGTTTTTTACTCTGGGCTGTCTTCCAAGATTGTTTGTTTATCATGCAGCCTTTCAAGATGGTATGTCCCTCAGAGAAGGTTTGTTTACTGTCCACGATTTAATAAAAGATAATGTCTGTTTATGGCCAAGGACAATAAAAATTATATGTCCCTCCAGAGAAATTTTATTTACAATCCAGAATTATAAAGATAATATCTGAACCACATTCTGACTTTGGAAAGTTTGCCAGCAGCCCCCTTATAAGATTAAGGATTCCCAAACTCAAATCCTCAGTTATGACACAAATCACTGTGTGCACAGAATCCACCTATGCTCCTTGATCACCCCCATGGGCCTTGGGTAGCCAGGTGAATGGGTGTAAATATAAAGCCCATGCTGCCTCCTGGGCCATGAGTCGTAAAATCCTGCCTCTGACCCAGGATCTGCTGTGTTCTGCCAGTACTCACAAAACTGGCCAGCTAACATTTGCTTGCAAGGCAGTAAAATCTTGGACTTTTCAGAATTCGTGACAAACAGCTAGGCACTGAGGCAGCACCTGGCCAGATGGAGGTGGAGGTAGGCAGGGGACCTGCTGGGCAGCCACATGGTGGAGGACAGACCAGGACTGAGCTGAACTTTGGGGGAGAGGTGGAAGCAGTGGAGATGCTGGACTCGCCTGCCCCAAGGATGCATCCAGACACAAAGTCATCCCACCAGCCTTTTCAGAAACTTCCTTTCATCACTCATGTCCCTCCCCCTGCCCAACACATTCTTCCTCTTGGCTCTCCCTCTGGGGAAAGTACACTGTTCCCTCAGGCACCAGGACAGACCCCAGGTGCCTCACAGACCTTCAGACACGAACACTTGCTCCCTCGATCTTCTCTATCCCCTACACCCTGGCTCAGACACATCTCTATTTGGACCCTATCCACGGTGTCCTCCCTTTCATCGGGATCTTCCCATATATCTCCTTTTGAACTTCTGAACGCTCTTCTTTCCCAATCATGCCTTCATTTGAACAGAAGATACCGGGATGGCTGGCAACTCATTTTACATTGTAATTCAGCCACTCAGAGGGTAAGACTCCAGGTTTGGATTTCAGAAATCTCAGCTCTGCAGCAATAAAAAATAAATGGTTCTTTCCGGGCAGACATAGAATGGTGAAGACCACCAGAAGCAGTTTGCTTGCAGTTCCTAAAGCCAGAAATACACCATACACCAGAAATACATCCTATCTCAGGGATATATCAACTCTCCACTTTTAAAAAAAATTTTTCTTAGAGAGAAAGAGTACACATAAGCAGCGGGGCTTAGACGGCTTGGGCTAAGAGTTGGAACTGTGCTGTGGAGGTGGAAGGACATGGGACAGGAACACTGCTCAGGGTCCGGATAGAGGGACAAGTGGAGTGGGAAGGGTGGGAAGGTTCTGAAATTCTGGAGCCATTCCTGGGGTTGTGGGTTGGTGGCAGGGCCTGGGTAGGGAGACTATAGTGAGAGTAGAGCCAACTACAAGAATCAAACAGGAGACAGAGGGCAGCATCTGGAGTAGCATGTGGTGTGGGGG